AATGCAGTCCGTGTGGATGATGACGTGGTAGGTGAGGACGAAGACCTTGCAGCTATTGAATGGGACCCTTTGAACCCTCATATGGAAGAAGGTACTGTTTTTGCATCCATGATTGAGTGTAGAAATGCACTTGTGACATACTGCATCAAGGTAGAACGTACTTTCAAAGTTGACAAGAGTGATCAAGTACGTTACAAAGTGCGTTGTCCAACCAAGGGTTGTCCATGGAGGCTGCTAGCATCTAAAATGCGAAATAGCACTAATGTTCAGGTCAAAGTGAATTCTTTTAAACACACATGCCAGGAATCAACCCTTAGGAAGGATACAATCAGTAGAGCCAAGTCAAGATGGGTGGCAAAAGAAGTAAAGAAGTGGGTGATAGAAAACCAGCAAGCGGGTCCAAAGGAATTGCATAAGAACATCAAAGATAAGTCCAAGATAGATTTACCATACATGAGGTTGTTCAGTGGTAAACAACATGCTATGGGAGTGGAGTTTTGGCTCCCGGGTCCAGATGAGCCCGATATGTGTGCCATGTATTATTGAATTTGATATACGGCGATGGAAAAGTCTGGTCGACGGGCGAGTACGCGTGGGGTCGGGCTGGTTCAGTTAACGCCCCGTCTAGTTGTCGTTAACATGTGCGAACGGCCGTCCGCGCGCTGTCACTCTCCCCCCGTCGCCTTTTCTGTCAGCTTGCTTCCAGCCCGTTACCTGGACCCATCTGTCAGCCCATGCCGTCTTGTGGGTTGGCCACCTCTTGGCGGTCTAGTCCATTTGGTCAGTAGAAGGGGATCCGAGAGGAGGAACAGGGCGGTGTAGGCGGCGCGGCGGTGGCGGATCGGTGGTAGTCCTAGCATGCCGACTGATTTCCCCGTCTCTCCAGTGAGCAGGTAAATGAATCCTCCATAGCTTGCCTTTACAATAGTTGCCGCCCCCAACTCCCACTCCCGTAATTAGTTACATGACAGGATTTTCGTTCTGATTTGCTACCAGACTGCCAATCTTCTCAGATGAGGCATCTAGTGCGGCGAAGGTGCTAGGTATGATTGGCACAGGGAGGAGTGGGGGAGGGGAGGGTTTCAGCTAATGGATCGCGCGGAGGCATCGTCTGTGGATTGGGCATCAGTTCACGGGTGAACTGTTCTAATCTGTTCGGAGAGGAAGCAAGTGTTGATGCTAGGTGCGGTGGGTTGTCCGCGTTCAGCGAGAGCGAGGGCGACAACACTAAAAAAATTGAGAATGGAGGCCACCAATCTCGTGCTGATGGTCACCAGGAAGCTATTATTTGCGATAGAGCAGAAAGTGCAGATGTAGGTTCTGCTCAATCTACAGGAAAGGCTGATCCTCAGGCCCCAGGGTGCACGAAGAGGTAATAAAACGTCGCCCTATAGAATAAGATCTAATGTGTTTTTGCAGTGCTAGTAATTGGGGAAAATGAAGAATAATGATTTTTTTCGTGCGTTTGTCTCTGAGTATGATTCCTTGATGTCCTGAATGTAGTAATACGAATTTTTGTAACTTGACTCGCATGATGTAGGGTAAGAGTTGGTAAACAGCTTCTAGACAAAGCTCCGTGCGCTGAAAGAGTAGGAGCGCTGGAGAAGACCATCAGGGGCTATGCCAAAACACTTGGGGATTGTGTGGTTGAGCCATCAGTTGGTCTAACGTTCGACTCCTTGGGCGAGGCGTACGATTTTTTCAATTTGTATTCCTGGGAGCTGGGTTTCGGCATAAGGTACGGCAAGAGCAGGCTTAATTCAGAGAAGACAAAATGCATGCAGGAGGTTGTCTGCGGGTGCTCGGTGAGTATGCTTGTTGTGAAACTGTCTTTCCAATCATGCTAGGGAGCTAATGGGTGGTGGTTAGCACTGTATATCTAATGTATGATGTTATGCCAATTGTCATGGTAAACCAACGAAGCATAACAGCCGTTCATGTCGTTGCTAGTTCCCAGCAATGATAAGGCTGCTCTGGACATCTGACAATGGCTGGTACATCACAGAGCACAGGGCAAATCATAACCATGCTTTAACGCAAACATGTGGTGAGAAGGTAAATTGGCCATCCCATAAACATATAGATGCATACACAAGGGATTTGGTTAAGAAGCTTAGGCAGAACAACGTAAATGTCACAAAGGTGTACAGTATAATTTCAAGCATCTTCGGTGATGCAAACAAAATGCCTTTTACTAAAAGATCACTGCGAAATTTGTGTGGTAAGATAAATAGGGAGCAGGCAGAGGATGATGTTAGGAAAACAATTGATGTGTTTGCTGACATAGCTGCGAAAGACCGGGAGTTTGTTTTCAGAGTGCAGCCAGATAAAGGATGTAGGATTAAGAATTTGATGTGGGCAACTGGTAGCAGCCGGAACCAATATATTTATTTTGGTGATGTTGTTACATTTGACACAACATATAGAACAAATCTGTACGATATGCCATTCGGGCTGTTCGTTGGGGTGAACAACCATTTCCAGAGCATTGTGCTGGCGGGTGTGCTTCTCCGTGATGAATAAGCTGAGAGCTTCGAGTGGGTTTTTTCAGAGTTTGTTAGAATGATGGGAGGGAAGGCTCCCTTGACAATTTTGACACGTACATCTTTATAATTTTTGACATGCTGTTTTCGGTCCTACCCATCCATGTAATTGTGGAATTTAGGTACTAAAACAGTTTTTTTTGTTTTACCGGGCATGGTGTGAGCAGATCAATGTCGAGCAATGGAGATTGTGATCAGGAATGTGCTACCGACAACCACGCATCGCTGGTGCAAGTGGCATGTGCTGAAGAAGTGCAAGGAGACACTGGGTCCAATGTACACGAAACAGAGTGACTTCCGAGCAGAGTTTCACAAGGTTGTCATCCACATGTTGACAATTAACGAGTTCGAGGACGCTTGGAAAATGCTAATAGAGAAATACAGTTTACAGAGTCACACATATATGACCCAAGTCTATGAGATAAGGGAGAAATGGGCTAAGCCTTATTTTCAGGGGGTATTTTGTGCGAAAATGACTAGCACGGAGAGGAGTGAAAGTGCCAACAGTATGCTGAAAACATATGTGCTGCCAGGGTGTCCAATGCACATGTTTGTGAAACACTATATGCGTCTCCAGTCCGCGAGGGACGCAGAGGAGAGTTATGAGGAAAAGCGTAATAAAGTGGTAAGTAACCAAACTCAATCTAGTTGAACCATCCCATTAGAAAACAAATTGCCGATGGTGTTGCATACTTATGATAGATTGCCTTGCATTGCTTAACAGGCCGGAGTTGTGTTCAAGTGCAATATGTCAACAGAGAGACATGGCAGCAAGGTGTACACATGTGCAATGATCGAGCAGCTAGGTGAGCTGCTCTACCAAGCTAACGCATATCGAATTGAAGAGTTGGATAAGGGTAGATTGTACAGAGCCACACACACGCAGGCTGAGATGCGCGAGAAGTGGGCAAGGGGAGTTTACGAAGTGAAGATGCTGGATGATGGTCGTTTATTTGAGTGTGAATGTGGTCTGTTTGAACACATGGGCATGCCGTGCTGCCACATGCTAAAGGTAAATTTAGTTTGTTGGAGTGTTTAGTACTGCTTTTCAATCAGTTGAAGCCATGGCAAAGCTTGCTCAGTAATCATTTGCTCCAGGTTATGGATGTTCTTGGTTACACTGAGATCCCGGAGAAGTTGATATTGAAGAGGTGGACAAGGGATGCAAGGGATGTTCTTCTGTCTCATTTGCAAGTCTACCAAAGAGGCCATGCAAGCAGTAGGATAATGACACACCGGCACACAAGTCTATACATGCACGCAATGGAGTTGGTCCGTCTGGGCGATGCATCCGTAGAAGCCTATGAGAAAGGGATGAGAATCATTAGGGATGGTATTACTGCTCTTACTGGCTATGAATCCCAGAGGGACGGGCTAGCTTTGGAGGACAGGCCTGAAGCTCACCGTGGTGCCGGAGAAAAATGCGATGATGGTGGACTTGTTGCACCCGTAGAAAGGCAGCAGATGGATGTTGATACTTTCGCTGGCCTAGATGCTCCGGAGAAGAGAAAGAAGCAAGGGCGCCCAACAAGCAGCCGCGAGAAGGCTCCGTATGAACAGTTGAGTAAGAGGACAAGGTTCTGCCGCATATGTAGAGGGAGTGGGCACAAGAAAACGACATGCCCGGAGCGCGGTGATCACCCGAAGAATCCCAGGAAGCAGGCAAAATGCAGCAACTGTGGTGTAGAAGGACACAAGCATAACACCTGCACGAATGCATTTGCTGTTAAGTTGCATGCGGGTGGTGTTTAATTGCGATGCCCTCTGACAGTTTTTTCCATAGGTTATTTTAGAACGTTTTATGTTTGTAGAGTGAATTGATGTGTGACTAGATGAGCTTAACTCCCACCGTATTGTTGTTGACCGTTATGTATTCCGAAGCAAACAGTTGCAAAGGAGGCATGGAAGATTTGGAACTGCGTGAGCGAATGGAAGGGCTCTGTGAGATACGTACACTGCTTGGCCATTATGTGTTTTTTTCTTTTTCCGTTTACTCTGTGGCTGCGACTTAAGGGTTTGAATTTTGAATTTTGAACTACTGGACAGAGCTGTTGCGCTAGGTTGGTTCAGATAGGTGGGGCACTAAACAGGGGAGGCTCTCTGCCTTTAAATATGGTCCAGCCGCATAGCGTGCTCCCGAGTACAGTTCACACGCCAAATACTCAAAAAAGCTCGAGGTACCAAGCTAGACATCCGGGGGAGACAGAAGATAATGGTGCTGTCCATCAGTTGGCCGAGCTCCGGCATCCTCACCGAGGGGTTTGTCTGGAGCCTCGACAGTGACCTGTTTGCACAGGTATGCCGCGCCACTTCTACAAAAACCGTATGATTCCGGTTGTTTCCTTTCGAGCAAGCTAACACCATGGTTGCCCCGTGTAGTGGCTGGGCTTGTCTAACAGCGGCGTGTAGTGCATCGCGGGAGGCGGCAGCTCGGTTGATGGTCAAGATGGTCAGAGCATGGGCGAGGTGAACCAGGGGGCGGATCAGGCGGCTGATGATCTCGTGGAGGTGAGAAGAGACATCAGATCTGACCATTTATGTTGCCTGCTCTGTGAATCTGAAGCATTTTGTGTTCTACCCCCCGTTTTTGTTATCTTTGATGCAGGTTGAAGCTGCCCCTGCAGATGTTCTTCCAGATAACCAGGACGGAGCAGCCGTGGTGGAGAACCAGGCGGTAGATTTCGGGCTGGAGGTGGTGGCGGAGCATGACCTGGACGCGAAGGGAGAGGATGGATTGGTGGAGTCGGCAGAGCTTGAGGAGTTCGATGAGTCAGTGATGTTTTGGAGTGGTGAGGAGGAGTCTGAGGATGAAGATGAGGTGTGCTCCTCCGCGCAGAAGCGTCCTCATCTGAACTAGTTTCAAGAAAGACGACATAATCTGATAATTGATCGGTCGAAAGTAGTTTAGAGTAGTAGAAGTTAGCACGTGTTTAGCACTTGCTAGTTGTTGACTTACTGTCAACTGTTTGGGAGTCGTCCGGTATTTTGGATGTGGCAACACATGGTTGTAATATCTTATCGATCGGTCCCATGTTTGGAAAAGTCGCTCACTTTCCATGATGGCGCTAGAAAAGCGCTCATTACAAATGAGAGTCTATATGATTCGACTTTCGTTGGTAGTGATAGTGAATCATTATGAAATGAATCAGATGCCAGAGAATCGCGTTAACTGTCGTTTTGCAGTGTGGGCTGCATGGTCGCATCGTTAGTAACCAGAAAAATTGCTCTTGCGATGATCCCACTCGGCTAGAATAGAACAATAATTTATTTTGTCTGCCATTGGGTCTCATGGTTGATTAGTAAGAGGTAACTACGTCCATGCTAATTAAACAGTTTGCATGCATGTGGAAGAGTCAAAGGAGTCGCGTCGGTGGGTTGGTGGCGCGGGTGTATGGACCCCTGTTTTTCTTTGAGGGAGGAACTGCGTGGACCACCACACTCGCTGTCCGAACTATTGCGACATCCGATTTTGTTTTCTCGTAGCATGGGGAAAAGGTGGCCGGTCCGTTGGTCGACAAGGTCTTTTGTTATTGTCATGTGACACGTGGACAAAAGTGTGCAAGATATAGTGGGATCCGGGGTGCATTTCGTGCATGACGCTGCATGCTTCAGGGGGGCCCAGTATGACAGTTAATGTCGTGGAGCGAAAAAAAGGTACACGTGCATCCCGGTGCATGCTGCGGTGAACCCTCATTGTATGACTCGTTGGGTTTGTGCATTTACGTCCATGAGAGCTGCTACTCCCGGTCTCTGGTAATAGATGTCACCGGCATCATATATATTTTTGTTTTGGCATGCGATTTGATTGATTTGGTGGAATGAATAAGCAAAATGAAGGGGTGAAGGTGTAGACGTGTCATTTGTACAGGCAGCTGGGTCGCGCCGCGCACCGGGTAGGCACGTATTGCTGGTCGGTAGTGGGCGGTAAAAATCCCGCCATTTGCACCCAAAATTCGGGCGAGCTATAGCTCGGTATGAGTGGCAACGAGACATCCACGTTAGATGCAGATAAGGGAGTGGGTGAAAAAATCATCCCGTGCCCCGTGGTCAGCTCGGTTTACTTCTTACCCCACACTCTCACTCCAATCCTTCTCTCTACTTGGGCAAAAGAGATAGATAAGGGGAGAGCAAAAGCAGAGGAGAGGTGAAAAGAAGGTTGGTGCTTGGCAGTGGAAAACCGAATCTCCGGGTCGCTGCCGTGCATCTCGTGCTGCGACCTGGCTAGCTCGTGAGTAGATCTGGTCCGCATTTACAAAGGCTTGCTCTTTCGCGTGGCGATTAAGAAAATCATAGGCATTTTTTGGTTTGACATTGGGGTGGTCCTTCCTACTGATGTTTATGCATCTAGGTCGTCGCGATGAAGCCACAAGCTTCACCGTCGAGGAAGTGTCATACTCGAAGCCGAGGAAGGGTCGCTGTCGAAGCTGGATCTAGCCAGTCTTCACGCCCGTGGGGGAGCAGGCTTCAGCTTCCAGCCACAGCTGAACCAGAGGAGATCCCTCGGATGGAGCCGAAGTTAGCGGCCGAAAACCTGCCAGGGCCATCAATACGGAACACTTCCACTCCGGCGACATTGCTGGGCGTCGGGTCCATATTGTATCCAGTGGTCAGAAGCACGGGGCTCGGCAGTTTCCTAACTATTAGGGTGGCTGGCAAGATGAATAGGAGGTTCTATGTCTGGGTGCAGTCTAGGTTAGATCCAAAAACCATGGGGATGACTTTCCTAGATAAGCAAGTTAGGTACTTAGACAGGGAGGCAGTTGGTAGAATTATAGGTGTGGTGTCTGGCAATAGGCCTGTTAAATTTGGACCACTGAAAGATAGGGTCAAAACTGTTGAGAAGGTGCAGTCGTTGCTTGGCTTAGAAGTTAGAGCGTCCGCTGGAATTAAGGTAGGGGATCTGCAGAAATTAGCTCAGATATGTGATCATGAAGAGATGTCAGCAAAGCAATTAGACACGGCTGAAAGTGCAACTATCCCTAGGTGGTTTTGGTAATTCATAACAACATATAGCTCATTGAGCTAATGGTATTCCAAGATGATTATTTCAGGAAAGCTCAATGATTGGCATGGTATGGATGTGAAAGTGGAACCCTCAAAATGCTAAGGACAAAGGATTGGCTCAAGCTCAAAAGCTCAAGACTCTTCATTTTATATTTTAGTGATCCAAGATCACATTGAGTCTTTAGGAAAAGCCAATACTATCAAGGAGGGATGAGGTGTTGCTTAATGAGCCTCTTGCTTCATGTGCTTAGTGATATGCTCCAAAACCCTCAACTACTTTCCCATATCCACATATGACCTAAACCCTAAGCCAAACTCGGTCCTACCGATTCTTCCTATCCGGCGCCACCGAGTTTCACTTGTCATAAGCCACTGCCAAACCCTAGCAATTCGGTTCTACCGATAGGGATCTCGGTCTCACCGAGATGGGATTGCAAACTCTCTATTTCCCTTTCGTAACTTTTCGGTCTCACCGAAAGAGCGAATCCGTCCCACCGAGATTGCAATGTAAATTCAGTGTTTCCCCTTTGTAACTTTTCGGTCTCACCGAAAGAGCAAATCGGTCCCACCGAGTTTGCCTGACCAACTCTCTGGTTAGCTAATTACCAAATTCGGTCTCACCGAGTTTGTGTAATCGGTCTCACCAAGATTACGTTATGCCCAAACCCTAACCATATCGGTCCTACCGAGTTGCATGTCAGTCCCACCGAAAATCTCTAACGGTCACTAGGTTTACATTTTCGATCCGACCGAGTTTGTTGATTCGGTCCCACCGAGATTGGAAAACTGTGTGTAACGGTTGGATTTTGTGTGGAGGCTATATATACCCCTCCACCTCCTCTTCATTCGAAGAGAGAGCCATCAGAACACATACACCATTCCAACTCATATGTTCTGAGAGATTTGGTGGTCATAGCCTTGGTTTCACAACCTAGGAGAGTATGGCGTCTAGCAAGGGAAATTATCACCGTAGAGGTCCCTACTTTGATGGTACTAATTTTGCTAGTTGGAAGCATAAAATGAAAATGCATATTCTTGGACATAACCCCGCCGTTTGGGCTATTGTGTGTGTTGGTTTGCAAGGTGACTTCTTTGATGGGAGAGAACCAAACCGTGAAGCTACCGCGGATGAGTTGAAGATGTTGCAATACAATGCTCAAGCTTGTGATATTCTCTTCAACGGATTGTGCCCCGAAGAATTCAACAAAATCAGCCGTCTTGAGAATGCGAAGGAAATTTGGGACACTTTGATTGATATGCACGAAGGTACCGACTCCGTCAAGGAATCCAAGTTGGATGTGCTTCAAAGCCAACTTGACAAGTTCAAGATGAAGGATGGTGAAGGTGTCGCTGAAATGTACTCTAGGCTTGCTCTCATCACAAATGAGATTGCCGGCTTAGGAAGTGAAGAGATGATCGATAGATTCATCATCAAGAAGATTCTAAGAGCCTTGGATGGAAAATATGATACCGTGTGCACATTGATCCAAATGATGCCCAATTACAAAGATCTCAAGCCAACGGAGGTGATTGGAAGAATTGTTGCTCATGAGATGTCACTTAAGGATAAAGAGGAACTTCACAACAAATCAAGTGGTGCCTATAAAGCCTCATGTGAAGCCCCTACATCATCAAGTGAGAAACAAGACTTCAATGAAGAACTGAGCTTAATGGTGAAGAACTTCAACAAGTTCTACAAGAGTAGAAGCAAAGATAGAAGCTTCAAGTCAAGGTCCTACAATGACAAAAGATCTTCTAGTCGAGAGCGAAACTGCTACAGTTGTGGAAGACCCGGACACTATTCCAATGAGTGTACGGCTCCCTACAAGAGAAGAGAAGATTCTCCAAAAAGAAGAAGCAAAGAATCACCACCAAGAGAGAGAAGGAGTAGAGATGATCGTTATGAACGAAGATACTCACGGAGAAGCAAGGATTCAGAAAGAAAGGAAAAATCATCAAGAAGCTACACAAGACGAAGACATCAAGCTCATGTTGGTGAATGGGTATCCGGCTCCGACTCCGACAACCACTCCGAGAGAAGTTATCACTCCGACTCAGGTGTTGCCGGTCTAGCACTTGTGTCAACCAACTCCTACGACATATTTGACTCACCAAATGAAGGAATTGGAAGATGCTTCATGGCCAAAGGTCCTAAGGTAACACACCCCGAGTATGTTGATTTCAATAGTGATGAAGATGACTTGTTAGGTGATGATTTGCTTGTTGACAACTCTAGTGATGAATACTATGATGAAACGTCAATTAAACATGCTAATCAAGATAAAACGAATGACAATGATAAGGAGAAGGTTGAGGCTCTAACTAAAGAACTAAACACTCTTAAGTTAGCCCATGAAACTATCTTCGAAGATCATCGAGAACTTTTAAGAGCTCATGAGAAATTACGCTTTGAAAAGCTCAATCTTGAGCAAGAGCATGAGTTCTTAAAAGCAATCAATGATGATCTCCGCAAGAAAAGTTTTTCTCACATTGCCAAGCGTTTACTCTTATCCACTTACATGCCTCAAGTCAAGTCTAGTAACAAGAACAAGAAAGATTCTTCCTCTAGTAGTAACAATGATCATGCTAAATCCAATATTGTTGCTTCTAGTAGTTCTCTTGATTCCACTAATGATTCTCTTAGCCAAGTTACACTTGAGCAAGAAAATAGCTTATTGAAGGGAATTATAGAGAAAAGAGTGTACAAAAGCCTTGCCGGGAGTAAGCAATTCGAGGAAATTGTGCGCAAGCAAGGAATGCACCGGAAGAATCAAGGTGTTGGTTTTGAACGAAAGTTCAATGCCAATGGAGTTGAGTGGGAAGAATATCAATACCCCAAGACAAAGTTTGTTC